GCAAATTACGGGCATCCCCTGCCCATTTACGGCCGTAATTGCTTCTATTATGCCCGTAAATGCAATGCCGAGCCAAATTCTTGAGAATTCCGGTCGCAGAGCAAATTACGAGCAAGAGTCAAAGCAACTACGGTCGTAATTCCTGAAATACTGGCCGTAATTGGGTAATTACGACCCTAATTCCTCTCATCAGTGTTAAGTGAAACGTGCGTTTTGGGCGAATTGCGGGCATACCTTGTTTACGACCGTAATTCAGCCCGTATTTCGTCCAGAATCGGTTTTTTGAGGCAGATTCTAGCCAAAGGAGAGGGAATCGACTTTTGGAGCAAAAAAAAAGTTTTAGAGAGAGAAAGTGCGATGAACAAACCCTAGGAGCTATTTGGAGAGGATTTCTCACCATTGAAGCCCCGACTGCATCCCCAGGAGTGAAGATCATCATCCCGGAGCAGATTATCCTCATCTTTATGAGTATGACTACTCTGATTTCTGTTTTCCTCTTACTCTCTCTATGGAGTAGAACTTTCTCTCACTTGGGTATGAAGAACCCTAATTCCATGTGTTAGGGATCTTGATTGTAATGACTTGGGATTGTTATACTGATTGATTATAATAAATTGATGCATGATTCATTGAGTCAATTGAAGTCTGATAATCTTTTCTTGATTTCTGCTGCAAGCTGAGATAGATAGAATCTGATTAGGTTGTTAGAGCTTCATCAATCGGTAGTGGTAGATTGATTATACGAGAGTTAATCGATTTACTGCTTTGTACTGGAATCCAATTCCAGTAGTGGAGTTCTGCGTTCATAGCCTTAGGTTTCTATCCCGGTGAAGATTAGTCGTCTGCCGGGTAGTTGGACTGAGAGGGCTTGGTCAGTTTAAGAGATTCCAATCTACTGTCGGATCTTCCGCAGTTTAATCAATAGTTAATCAACCTAGGGTAATTACAACTATGACCTAACTAAGGAGCTAGGGGGACTCATTCCCGAGTGACTCTCCCTTTGCTTTAGAAAACCGAACCATTTCCTGCTTTCTTACTGCTTTAATTAAAATCACAACCACTCGACTTAGTTTGCTAGATAACAGATATTCACGGAGTAGGTAGTAGATCTAGACCCCGGGTTGACAATTAGAGCTTGCATGTTACTGCATTTCCGGACTACGATTACACTTGGTCGCAGTTTGGTGTTGTGTTTTAGCGTGTCAATACAACCACGCTTTGTAGCACAAGCTTGCGGCTAACCATGCACAAGTTATTGCAGGTAGTATACTCCATCATGTAGCTCACCCTTCCCAATAAAATTCTGGGGGCATAAGTCCTTAATGATGGAGAAAGTATCAAGAAATATCAATGCAACATGATTATGTTTCGTCAAATTACTCGCGGACACCAAATTATAGCGATATTCTGACACATGCAGATCGTGACTAAGAGTAATACATGGCTACAGATTGATCGAACCCACGCGCTTATTAACAGGTATGCTAGTGCCATATGGTATTCTAATGGGTTGACCATGAACTGGATGTTCCTTGCTAGGCATTAAGGACTCATTCATAGTGATGTGTTCATTGCAACCTGAATCAAGTAGACATTCACAAGTATCATAAATAATACCTACCATATTAGCCAACTAATCATCAATAACTTTGTTGGAACAACCAAAGAATTTGCCTGAGTTGCTCGAGTTGTGTCATTGTGATACCATTGGCAGGACTTTGCTCTATATTCACCTCCGAGGTCTTTAGCTCCCCACTAGAACCATCACCAGACCAATTGTTGTTGCAACGTCGCGTTGACCATTCTCCTTGCTTATCCCTTGGTGGATTACCTATTAACATGCCTCTTTGACATGTCCAATGCATTGACAATGAGTGAAACAAGGCCGATCACGCTCCCCCTGGCTTTGATCGGGCCATGATCGATCGCGCTCCCCCTCTGCATGAAATTCTCTTTTCAGATACTCCTCGGGCAATGAAAGTTGTTTTCTCCAACAAAGACCTCCTATTTTGAGTAATAGACTTCTTCAAATCCTAATTGAAAAACATTTGAAATGCCTCTGCTAGATTCGGTGTGGGACGTAAGGCTAGAACCTGAGTTCGAATGGGATCCAAAGCATCATCTAGTCCCATCAAGAAATCGAACAGACCTAAATTGTTCTGTGTTCCTACTAAACGCAAACGGTATTGTTGATGTTATCATCGCCTTCAACCATGATTGACAATGGCTGCCAACCATAACTTATTGCTTTGGTACCATGTAAGATTGTATGAAAACTAAATGAGCCATTTTAATGTGGTTTTTCCTCATGGTGTGTGAGGCTTACGTCCATGGAGAAGAGATCTTTTATTTGGTTAAGCACACACATTTAGAAGCCAGATTACAACTATTTATATTAACACCAAACCCTTTCTCATAATCATCTAGGGTTGGTTTCTCAGAACAAGTCTCGGACGTGCATGTTATGCACTATTAGCTGTGAGGTGGGATGGAATTGGCCAAGTATCGTGAATTTTGACTTGCATCGCAACTTAAATATATAAAACCCTCAATTTTGGTTAACCATCAAGAACATGAACTGAACCATCAAATTTCCTGTGTGCATCAAGTGGATCCAATGATAGCTTTGCCAACATAGGTAGAAGATGTAAATAAAAGATTGATATAGTTGTCCCCACGTGACTTGCTTTCTTTATTTTCTTTGTTTAAGCTAAGCGAATGAATAATTCGTCGGAAGTTCTGTTGGAGAAGAAGATAGAGGCTCACAACATTAAGGTGTTAGCTTCTTTGGCGGAATGCAGTATGTAAGAACAACTGTGTTTTCTTTACTTATTAATGGTGAACTTCACATTTACCTTAGGGGTGGAAAAGGATTAAAATCAGGTGATATTTACTTGGATATACTAAGTTGATGTGGAAATTTTGTATTCAATCCACCAATTCAATTAAATTCATCCACTTAAATATCCCAGCAATCCGATACATTTAAATCCAATCTATTTGACCCAAATCTAATTCAACTGGTGATTTCATGTATTGTTGAAAAATTATAATTTAGTACCTATAATTTTTAAATTTTATATTTTGGTACTCAAAATTTAATTTTTAATGACAAAATCATTGAAAAATTCGTTTTTCTACCTAAAAATTTTTATTGTGACATTTTAGTACCCAAACTTCTCAAAATTGAAATATTAATAGAATATTTAGATGCCACTTGGATCAATGATTCAATCCACCAATGCATTTACCACATCAAATTTTGATATAATGCTCCTGATAAAATGTGAGATGAGAAATTGAGCTAGGATTCCCTCAAACGAGTCTTTTAGGGGTGATGGGAACTCGGCAGAACAAGTCATGAGTCATGAGAAGTACTGTAGGGAGTTTATAAGTCTCTAACGGAAATTAAGTAAGCTTATGGTAGTTCAAGGAACTTATGAAACCTCATGAGAGTTTGTGATAACTAAAAGCTTAAAAGAGAACTTTTGGTACTTGGACTTACCTTGGGGAGGCTAAGTTTAGTATAAGCCATCGTGCTAAACCTATGGCTCACCCCAGAGTCCAGTCAGGCTTAACTCATTCACGTTGGACGAAAATTCATTCACTTGCCAAGGAAATATGGCTTATTTTAGCTCAAGATAGAACTTTTAAAGGTAGTTTATTCAATTTGATTATTAGACAAAAACGAATTTATCCATCCTTTCGAGACATTCACTCTATTAAACCAAAAGGTTCAAATCATCCATTTGCTTGAACCCAAAGCAATTTATCGTACCATAAAATCATCTGCAGATGATTTAATAATGTTGGCGGTATGTCGGCATGATCGATTTACGACCTCTAAACAAAATCATGACGTTTTAATAAATTTAATTTATAATTTTTTCATGAGTTTAAAAGTGAAATGTTAATGTTATTTGTTGTATTGAAATATAAATATTTAGGTATTGACGTTGAATGTTTTATTTAAATATGATCAAACATGCCCTTCTGTTAAAATTTCCATTAAAAAAATCGTCAACCATGGTTGAACCGAGATGTAGACGACCCGACATCGGCAAATGAGAGGAAAAATGTCAGTTTTGTCCCCCATTTTATTTTTCTAGGTCTCGTTAAAGTGAAATTATTAAAGGTATTTGGCTCTACAAAAGAACCCAAAAAATTCTAAAGTGAAATTACCAGGGATATTTTAGACATTTGTGTCGCCCAAACCAAGGTACGACCGTGGTAGACTGTTTTTGGATGAAAATATTAACATAAGGGCATGTTTGATCATTTTTCTAAGATACAGGGGTATGTTTGATGTAAAAAATAGTAAAAGGGCCTGTTTGATAAATCGACATAGTAGAAGGGCATATTATACCTATAACCCTTTATTTTATTGAAAATGTCATATTTTATTTAAATATAAATATGAATAGTAAGTAAAATGTCTTCAAATATGTATTATATATGATTAAATTCATTTGATATTAATAATTTTTTATATTTTATATATTTGTTAAAGCGAAATGAACCGGCACAAATCGACTATACCACGAATCAAACCGTTACACTTACAAACAAACGCAACACTTAGCATAAACCTAAGGCCCTGTTTACTTTCATTTCTGTTTCCTGTTTTTGAGAAAACAGATGTTGAAAACATGTGAAAACGACATTTTTTCGTTTTCGAGAACAGTAGGAAGCTGCCACTTTCTGTTTTCAGAGTTGGAAACAAAGAGAAAACAGAATGAAAAGTAAACATATTTTCTCGTTTCGTTTGTCAAATTTATGACATGAAAACAGAAAACAGAAAACGAAAATGAAAGTGAACAGGGCCTAAATGTTATCCCCGTGCTTACTATTTCTTAAGTCGGTTTAGGCTTTAGAGTGAGTCCCGGGGCCAACACGATGACGTGTAAGAAATCATTGGATAACCCTGCTTCCAGGTGTCAGCCATCTGTACGCTGCGCTTACGGACCAGAAAGTGCTTCTGCTTTCTGACTTTTCCCTTCTGAAAATGCAACCGAATGGATGAATAATGCAATCCATCCATGGCCGTCTCCATCGCCATCCCCAGCTAACCACTCCCGCCTTGCCCTGCTAACCAATCCGGCTGAAGTAACCGCCGCTTCATTTTCTTCTCCACATGTTCTTCTGTTTGTCTCCCGAGAAAAAGGTTCAGATGGTCTGATTTTGTCTGTATGCGTTTGCTCCGTTGAATTCTATTCAATTGGCCGGAGAAGATATCCGTGGGGAGAAAGAAATGACTCGGTTCCGACCGACATCTCCGTCGGCACCAATTTCGCCTTCGATCAACGACGCCGCAGCTCTGATTCCCGGCCTTCCGAACGATGTAGCAGCGCAGATACTATCCATGCTCCCTTACTCTCACCACTCCCGTCTAAAGTCCACCTGCAGATCCTGGTGCATCTTCCTCTCTTCCGAAACCCTAATTTCCCTTCGCCGCCACCTCCGCAAACTCAGCAACCTCCTCTGCATCTTCCCGCAGGACCCTTCCATCTCGTCTCCCTACCTCTTCGATCCTCGGACCCTCGCATGGAGGCCCCTCCCGCCCATGCCCTGCAACCCCTACGTCTACGGGCTCTGCAATTTCACTTCCGTCTCCCTCGGCCCTCACCTCTATGTCCTCGGAGGATCCCTCTTCGACACCCGTTCCTTCCCCATTGACCGGCCTTCCCCATCATCCGCCACTTTCCGGTTCAATCTCGTCACTTCCACCTGGGATCAGCTGTCACCGATGCTCTCCCCTCGTGGCTCCTTCGCTTGTGCAGCGGATCCTGGATCGGGGCAGATAATTGTGGCCGGGGGAGGGTCGAGGCACGCGATTTTCGGTGCTGCAGGGAGCCGGATGAGCTCGGCGGAGGTGTATGATGTTGTGAGGGATGAGTGGGTGCCCATGGATGGACTGCCCAGGTACAGAGCAGGCTGCGTGGGTTTCTTGGGTGGTGGTGATGATGGGGAACAGAAGAAGTTCTGGGTGATGGGAGGGTATGGAGAATCGCGGACGATTTCGGGCGTGTTTCCTGTGGATGAGTACTATAAGGATGCTGTGGTGATGGATGTGAATAGTTATGGGACTGGTAAGTGGAAAGAGGTTGGGGATATGTGGCAGGAAGGGGAGCGAGCAAGGCTTGGCAAGGTTGTCACCGTTGAGGACGATGGTAATGGCTGCCCTGCTGTTTTCATGCTTGACGAGAATGATATCTTCAGGTGAGTGCTTCAAATTTGACGCTGTTATTTCCGTTGCTTGGGATGTGGAGCTATCTGTTTACCCGATATCTACTGTATTAGGAAAGATCCTTCCTGTTTGGTTGCATTAATGAACTAGCTTTGGTACTCCTAGTTGTTGGGCAATTGACTTGTTATGAATCAGAAAGGCAGGGTCCGCAACTACACTCTCCTATGTTTTTCTAGTTTATATAGCCATTTCAGAAGCTGAAGGTTATTGTGTCTTCGGTGTAGTAGGGAGGATCTGAAGTACTTGACTAGCACTTAGCAGATTGCATTTGCTTGATATCTTGCAATTTGAGTATTTTCTGTATCGTTTTGATCACTTAGGCAGTGCAAAATAAATGTGTGTGTGTGTGTGTGTGTGTTCTGAATGGTATCTGCGAATCTAGTGCAAAAAGCCTTAGGAGTGGTAGTATGAACTAGTCACTTTAGTTGACTGCATTTTGGAGGCAGTGATCCGAACAAAAGTCTGCTTATATTGTTCTGTAGGATTTCATTGCAGCTTTTGGGTTATACTTGATGATTCGTGTTCTTTATGTCTAGTACGCGCACATTGTCAACTGAGCTGTAATCAACAATTCTGCGATATATAATTTCCTGATCTCTAGTTTAGATACTATAAAACTTCACTTGCAATCAAGCCAAGACAATCAATTTGTGTGATACGCATTGCTTCCATATCATTGTCAGTTGGTAATCCATATTATACCAGTTTTTCCTCTTCTTGGACTTCGTCATATGTTGTGGCTAGGGATTTTTGCTACCTCCATTAAGTTGGTCATATAATTATCGCCTGCTTACTTGTTTTGGTCCATTTTTGCTGTACTGTCCAATGCACTTTCATTTTGCCCTTCTACCTTAGGGTCTCTAACGGATGAAAAGAGAGTAATATCGGCCCAAGTAAAGTGGAACTTTTGGTTTTGGGATTTTTCCATGACGGCCATGGAGCTGGAGGTTTTAGTGATTGTTAGTATGCACACATTTGTTAGCTGTGGGGACAGAGCAGAAACTTGGATTAGTACTGTCATTTTTCTCTGTAGCTTCATTGGGTAGAAGCTGGTCGATGTCGTGTGTTAGATGTGAAACTGTAAGATATTCCCCATCCCAAATTGTTTAAAATTCTTAACAGATTATTTTCTAACTAAATTAAAATTAGGGCACCACACGTGACGGAAACTGGATGGAAAACTCATGGAAGGACACCTATATCAACATTTGTAGGACTGTCAATAGTTCATTTCCGTCTACTCATTCATTGGGTTTCAAATGGATGTTTATCTGAAATCAAATATGGGAAATACATTACTGTTTGAACTACAGGTACGACATGACTTGTAACCGTTGGCACAAAGAGACCAGCGTACCACGAAAAGCACCTCTACATTCTTCTTTTGGCTTCATTGTGCTGGACAAGGAGCTTCACATTATGACGATTCTTAAAGGGTCGGATTCAACAGAGACACGGAGGACAAGACAGCAGAAGAGGGCAGGGACACTTTTCATCCAAATCTACAGTCCTGGGAAGAAGACTTGGAGGTCACTCATCGCCAAGCCACCATTCCAGTCGCCGCTGGACTTCAATACCACTGTTATGTGCTCGATTCAAATGTAGAGCTGCTGCTGCTGCTGCACCTTACCGCAGGCTGCAGGAAGGTATCGGTTGCATCATATAATTGCTGGATCCTAATGAAGATTGTGCTTGCATAAAACACTTGATTGTTGTTGTTGTTATTGCTGTTGTTACCATCGTGGCGTAGGCCATTCGTTGTACAGATTGATAGGGAGGTGGGATGAAATCTGATTTTTGCTGCAGCAGATCATTTTGCAAATGCGATTTGAAGAATTGAATGGGTTGTACATGTCTCTCATTCAAGAACAGTGAAAATAAGGTCTGTGTTATGTGTTTGCTTCAAAGAAAGAGATATAGAGAAAGAAGAGTTGCTTGTACTTGTTAACTTCCTGGTCAGGCAGGGTAGCAACAGAGAACTGGTCTTGTTAGGCTTTAGCTGAGACCGGGTTCGTGCTTTCTTTGAATGAGAAACCTTGACCACTTTGGCTTTGACAGGACTGGGATTTACGCCCGAAGAATTTGAAGTTAGTTTCTGCCCTGAAATATTTGCAAAGAAAATGACCACTTTTCAAAGTAGACCGACTCGACTTTTTTCTACACTCATGACTTCTCAGTTTTCAATTCAACAACAGACCCGATCAAGCCGCTGTCTAGTTTCGGGCCTTGCCTCTGCTGACCGATCAAATAGGGTGCGTTCATCTGCTTACCAGTGGGCCTCCATGTGTCACGCATGAGAACTTCTTCTGTAGTCTGTCCAGCGCGGGCCACGGCAGTTAATTGTGCATCGGAAGATTGCATGTTTCGGCCCGTTTTTGATGGCGTGGAGAAGGGTAAGTACCAATCCATTTCAACTCAAAGGTTTACGCTTACGGTGCTAACACATTTTTTTATGAGCAGGGGTGTTGGTACTAGAGATGTCAAAACAGAATCTTACATGAGTGATTCGGTCATTTAATTTGACTCGCAACTTAATCGCAATATGAATTGACTAAAAGTCAATGACCTGCATCCCACGTTACCCATAACCGGATAAACCCACAACCCACTCAATATACTACCTGATTAGTTCGTAACCAGATTAACTTGAATCCGATTGATATGAAGCTTGATTATAACCATAGCCTGATTGATCCGAGCTCGATTGAATCGAACCCTATTAAATCGTGATCTGACTGATCTGAATAATTACTATGTTATATAGTATGTAGTCTTTCTAAATGAAGGTTTTGGTTTAAGATATGAAATTCACCTGACATAATTTTTATTTAATAAAATTATAAAAATTAAAACCTCAAGTTCACTCGAAAAAAGTTTAAAAATAAATACAAAATTAGCACATTCCAATATTAAAAATGAATAATAAAAAAACGGGTTAATTTCATGGTTGGTCACTGAGATTCCAAAAAACGTTCAAGTTTGGTCACTCCAAATATTAAAATCCATTGATGGTACTTCAGTTTACTGAAACCGTTCAAGTTTGGTCACTCTCCGTCCAACTCCGTTAACTTTTGCTGATGTGGCAGTCAACTCTCAAAGTTGACCGTTAACTTAGTGACGTGTCATTTAAAAAATAATAAATAAAATAAAATTTAATCTATTTTAAATTACCAGTTCATTTTTACCATAAAATAAATAAATAAAATAAAAATTATAATAATTAATCTATTTTAATCGCCAGATCCGCGACAGTACTTGACCAGATCCGGTGAAAGTTCCAGTGGGTGGTTTCGTCGATGACGACGTGGTTGATCGTCCAGCCGAGGAACACTCCGTCGACGAGCTCGGTTATCTGGATCGACATCAGCGGCCTTGTGAATCCGTGGTAGTTCTTCAGGTCGGGGAAGGCGAAGAACGACCAGATGACGGGAGCGGGAGGGACGGCGAAAGGCTGCCGCAAGGCCTCGTCGACGGTGACACCGTCGGCAACGACGTAAAGGAATGGGCACCCGACGTCCTTGCAGTCGATGTAGACGGTGGCGGAGCCGTCAGGGTGTTCGTCGGCGGAGAATCGGCCAGCGAATGGCAAGAGAATCACACCATAAAAGTACCACAAATGTTAGAAATCATATCAGAACCCTACCACACCATGAAATTCATAAAGCATATAAGAGAACTTATAAAGCATGAACCTCAACACACCAAAAAGTCACAAACCACATCATAATTACCATAAAGCTTATAAAGCATACCAAAAGTTTCTTATGAGTCAGATAGTGAAGTCTCCCTATGAGTCTTTTGTAAACTTCAGGATTAGGCAGAGGTTCTCCTTGCTTGGCACACAACTTCACTTTGTAATCCACAGGTGATAAACAGTCTTTGGCCTCCATATACCCAACATAATTAAGGAGATCGATATAATACTTCCTCTGGTTTACAAAGATACCTCTATGGTCTCTGTAGATTTCCAATCCCATCAAAAACTTCAACTGTCCCAAATCTTTGACCTTAAACTCTCTTCCCGTATAAAGTTTAACCTGCTCAACATCTCCTGATGAGCTTCAAGGAATCAGGATGTCATCAACATAGACAAGCACCACTAGAATTCTGCCTTGAACCCTTTTAATGAACATAAAATAATCAGAAGCAGCTTGTGAGAAACCATTTTTCAACATAGAAGCTGTTAGCTTGGCTAACCATTGCCTGCTAACTTGTTTTAATCCATACATGGATTTATTCTGTTTGCAAACCATTCTCTTATCTAGTAATGTATTCCAGGAGGGACATTTATGTAAACATCTTCATTCAGGTCACCATGTAAAAAGGTATTGGACACATCCATCAGATGGATATGGCAATCCTTAGAGGCAGCAACTGCCAACAAGGCTTTCACTGAGTTGATCTTAGCCACAGGGAAGAATGTATCTAAGAAATTGATCCCATATATCTGAGTGAACCCCTTTGCAACCACTCTTGCTTTATGCCTTTCAATAGTGCCATCAGACCTGTGTTTAATTTTATATACCCATTCAGAATCTATTGGCCTAACACCTGGTGGTGGTATAACCAAATCCCAGGTCTGATTGGCCTCCAATGAATCAGACTCTGCAGACATGGCTTTCCTCCAACACAACTCTTTAGATGCCTCCTCATAGCTGGTGGGATCAAATGCATTCATTACACTCAATACATATGTCCTGTGAGGCTGTGGTAACTGATCAAAAGATAGAACATGCTGCATAGAGTGCTTGCTGACAACACCAGTAAACACAAAATCTTTGTGCCAAAATGGCACTTGTTTGATTCTATCAGACTTCCTTATCATAGGATCAACACCTTCCTCTATTTCTTCTTGAGCACACATCTCAGTCTCCTCCTCCCCATCAGAATGCAAACCAGACATCTCAAGTGGCTCAGCCCCTAGTTCAGAAGAAGTAGGTTGTGAATTTGAAGGTGTGGAGGGACTAGGAAGAGAAGTGTAAGTAGAGGATGCATTCTAAGAACGGAGGAATGGATAAAGAAGGGATGGAGGAAGTGGAGTAGTGACAGGAAAGACAGGATCAGAAAGTGGTGCAGTAGGGGGAAAATGACAGAGAAGGTTGTTTGTAAAGAAGAATGTGCTCATAGAAGATCACATTTCGTAAGAGAAAGAATTGGTGGGAGTGTAAATCAAAGAGCTTATAGCCTTGAACACTAGGAGGATAGCCAAGAAATAGGCCCTGTCTGGCTCGAGGATCAAACTTGGTTCTGTCACGAAGGAGAGTAGAGGCATACACAGACATCCAATTACCCTAAGGTGACTGAGAGATGGTGATTTCTTATAGATAAGTTTAAATGGAGAAAGGTTATTAGTAACTGGAGAAGGTAGAGGATTGATTATGTACACTGCATTAGAAATGCAGCCACTCCAAAAGGAAAGAGGTAAGTTGGATTCGAATCTAAAGCTCGGGCCACATTGAGAATGTGTTGGTGCTTCCTTTCCACCCTTGCATTCTGCTCAGGGGTTTCCACACATGAAGTGTGGTGTTCAATACCATTAGAAGTATAGAATTCAGACATATGGAACTCATTTCCTTGGTCACTTCTGATTGCTTTTACTACAGTGTTAAACTGCCTATTTATCATAACACAAAACTGTTGTAGAAAGTCACTAGCTTCATATTTGTGTTTCATCAAATAAGCCCATACACTTCTAATTAGGGGTGGGAAACAGGTCCCGGTTTTTCGGTCAAACCGGAAACCGGACAGTTAAAACCGTCCCGGTTGTAACCGGCAATCGGATTGTATCCGATCTGATCAAGTTTCCGGTCAATCAGTTAGCCATCCCGGTCCAATCCGGTTAAAACGGATTAACTTAAAAGAAAATTAAAAAACCTTCAGCCAAGCCAAGCCCAACCCACAACCTAACCCCCCAGGCCCATAATTCGTCCAGCCCAACGCATCAGCCCACCTTACCCACTCAAACCCTAAACCTAATCCTACCCCCTCATTCTCTCACCCATTTGTACATGGCTACATGTCATAGCAGCAGCCGCCGCTCACTCCTCTCCCTCTAATCTCCCTCACCGAATACCTTGTCACCGCAATTGGCCACCTCCTCCTTCCGACAACCAACACCTCCACCTCCTCCATCCCGTCCGATCCTTCGCCTCCACCATCCCGCCCATCCTCTCCATCATTCACTCCTCACCACTCTCCATCCCCACCCGGCTCCGCCGCTGCCGCCGCAATCTCCTCCGCCATCGGCTCGTGCATGGAGGAACCACGACTCCGTCCACGCCTAGCCTTTCCGACCCCAACTCCCTCCCTGGTCTGTAGAGTGTAGATCGCCATCTTCTCCTCTTTGCATGCCGATGCAGATCCGGGGGACGAGACAGAGATGCTCACAACGTATGTGTTGGAGGATCTGACATGCAATTGGGCAACCTGCTTGCTCATAGAAGAGAAGAAAAGGAAGGGGCAAATGGAAGAAAGAGAAAGAAGAACAGAAGAGAAAGAGGAACAAAAAAAGAGATCGGGAAGATGAAGGAGAGAGTCGAGGCCACTAGCGCCTTTCTTCTTCTGATGTTCTTTTTTTTATCTTTTATCCAATTCGTCTCCAAACGGCAGTGTTTTGAGAGGAATCAATAAAAATCCGGTTTTTGGGTCAAAACCGGATCGGATTCCATCCAGTCACGGTTAAAACCGGATCTCATCCAATCCCGTCTTCGGTCGTGGGTTTGTTCAAAACGGTTGTAAAAAACTGGGTTAATCCGGTCCGGTTTTAACCAAACCGGACAGTTTAACAGCCCTACTTCTAATGTTATCATCCACCAAAGTAAGAAAGTAAGAAAAGACTTCATGAGACTTAATAGCAAGGGGTCCCTAAATATCCACATGGAGTAAACCAAAAGGTAAGTCTGCTTTGCTATCACTAATGGGAAAAATAAGCTTTTTCTGTTTGGCCAAATGACAAGTAGAATAGTGTTTAACAATCTCCCTATTACAACCAAGAATTTTTTGTTCCCTAGCTTGACTTGGGTGGCCTAATCTCCAATGCCAAAGCTGGATGGTTTGAGGCTGAAAGTTGTAAGTGGCGGCTACTTGAGGAAGAGGTGAGCTTGGTATGGGGAGGAGTCGATAGAGACCTCTAGTTTGTCTTGCCGAACCAATCTGGTTCTTGGTTAAGAAGTCCTGAATATGACAAGAGTCAGATTCAAAATGCAAAGAAATGAGAAGTTGATTGGTAAGCTTACTAACTAAGATAAGGTTAAAGTGAAAGAAGGGACTAGCAGAACACTATGTAGTGTTAAGCCTGAGAAAAGTGTGATTGATCCAATATGGCTAACTGGGACCTTAGTACCATTTGGGAGATAAACAAATTGATCAGTCACTAGATTAACCTTAGTGAAGAAGGACAATGTAGAGGCTATGTGGTCAGATGCCCCAGTATCAATAATCAAATTATGTGCTAAAGCTATAAACCTTGCTACAAGTGAGAGGTAAGTACATGTTTACCAGAAAAGCTTGGCCGAGGAGGCAAATGTTGTGAGACAGAGAAAGATGCATGTTTGATAGATGGTGAGGCAGGAGGAGATGGACTCATACTGTTTGATTGTTGAAGAAGGAACTCCAACTTAGCAAGTTCATCATTAGTAAAGTTGAGGGAAGATGAGTGAGACTTGTCAAGTGTATGACCACCAACTGATGAACCAGAATCACTACTCTGTGAGGGGGATTTAGACACAGAGCCAAAAAAAGCTTCATTTCCTTTCATCCTTGCCTTCTTGTTCTTAAGTCTGTAGCATTCTTCGTTAAGACGTCCACCTTTCTTACAGTACCTACACAACTTCTTCTCTGCATCATGTACATTCCTGGTGTCTCGACCTTGATTACCACCATCAAACACCCTTCCTTTGTCACCTAGGACTGCAAGTGCCACAGACCGAACCCCTCTAGCACTACTTCCTTTCTCTCCCTTCAGTTTTTACTCATGCTGAAGAACATTGTCCAATGCAACATCGATTAAAGGAAGAGGTTTCATCGTTAGAAATTGACTATGAACTAAGTCATATTATGGTCGCAAACCACGCAAAAACTTGATAAGGAATAAGTATTAAGCCTCTCCTTGAAGGCTTCAACAGCTGCACAAGGACGAATTTGCTGTTGCACACAATCACAATGAACCAATGGGGCATACTGTTGATATTCTTCCCACAACCCTTTCAAAGCAATGTAATACTGAGTTACATTCATGGTACCTTGCTTGCATTTGTTCATATCCTCTTGCAGATTAGCCAGTTTAGGAGCATTAGACTTTCCAAATCTCCTTTTCAGTTCATCCCACACATTCTTAGCTATATCACGCTGAAGAACAGAACGACTAATATCCTTATGAATAGAATTCAGAATCCAACACAAAACCATAGTGTTAGATGTATCCCACGTAACGAAGTCAACACGACCTCGTTAAGGCATGGGTAAAGAACCATCGATAAAACCCATCTTAAGTTTGGTCTTGAGGGCCATACTAACAGCTCGTTGCCAAACTTGGTAAATAGTTCCATCAAGAACCTCAGAAACAATCGATTGACACAGATTCTCACTACAGGATTAATATAATACAGGCTACCAAACACCAAACCCACGTTCACATTACCAGGTTGTTGTTGATTCCCAGTCTGTTGGTTGGAACATTGCGTCCTAGTTGCTCCAGAACCACCAGATCCTCCTGAATCGAAAGACCCAAAGCGAGATGGTGTTTTTATGGCGACGACCAATGACCATTGTTGATCATATGTTGTCAATAATAACCATTTCTAACGGAATCTGACGTATATGTACAAAAAACATGTTGCCACTGATGACCGTCTTTTTTTAGTGTGGAAGAAAGATGTAATTGTGGTGCATGTCTTCATTTAGCCAGTCATTTTTTGGGTGTCATTTCCAAACGCGTGCTCCTCTTATACACTGCATTCAGATATCTCTTTTTCAATCGACGGTTGTTGGGATGATTTCCTTTTATCTTATCCTCTTACTGAATTTGCTTACTGCCCTGCATCTAAGTAAGGTCCGCCTCTGGTATATTGTGGTTTGAAACACACAACTTCTTCAGTATTGCCCTCCAAACTTATATGTTATGCCTGGATAATACTTTTTTTTTTTCATGGCTATAACCCTGTTATCCTGGTTACCTCTTAATTTTATTCGTTTGGCAGGCTTCCTTGGGAGATCTCCTTCGCATGTATTCAGTAACTTTTATTTTGAATGATTCAGTTTTATTGTTGTACGGTAGGAGAGCTGTATAAGATTTATAATAATCTTTTCTCAACAACTCGAGTTATTGAGAATAATTAGTTTTTGACATGGTATTAGTGTTAGTGTGTGGTATAAGATCGATTATGGAACCTGTCTCAACAACTCAAGTTAATGGGATCAATAAGTTCTTGACATGGTATCAGAGTTTTCTGTGATCGAGAGGTCTTGTGTTCGAATCCCGATAACCTCCATTTGTGAAGCACATGGTATTCTTGTGTTAAGGCCTGTGCAAACTTCAAGTCCTGTGACTTTCGTTTGAGGGGACATGTTAGTGTATGGTATAAGATCCATTATAAAACCTCTCAGAACAAATCGAATTATTGTGACCAACTTGTTCTTGACCATTAGAACTAGTTTGTCCAAGTGTGTACAGCTCGTGTTGACAATGGAATAACTAGATTTACAACAACTATATATAATTCAAGGGATCTATTTCACTAAAAACAAAGTGGTATGATATCCTGTGCTTGTTAACAAAAGCATATGAAAAAAAGAAGGAAAAAAAAAAATTAAACTACGTTAGTGGGCTCCAAACTAAACAATTTCATTTTTCATGGAGACACCAAACTATAAAGAGAGCTTTTCCCATGACATCGAAACAATAAACTTTTCACACATGAATGTACTAGTCAAGAAGAACTCCGAGAACGTTGCCGACGACCAGTCTGATCTTCAGAGACGTCGTGATGTGAAACTGCAAGAGACCGTCGTGGGGGCCGGCGGGCTGATACATCGCCGGCGACGTTCATAGCGCTCACAGCACGTGTGCAGGTTCCCGGGTTCCGGCCGGGGATGTTGGTGCATGGATTGGGACCCGACCCTTGAACCGGACCCTTCTGCAGGGAGTGGAGAAGGAGTAGATGATTCGCACTACTACCACCCTCCTCTTCCTTGAGCGGTCTCATTTCAGCTGGCTGCAAACAGGAAGCCGAGAAAATGGCCAAAGCCAACAAGATTGAGAAAACCACGGACTTCATCGTCTTTCTTTGATCCCTGGACAGGAGGAGGGTACGTAGCTTGTTTGAGTTTATGATGCGGCTGGAATTAGTTTACTTGGTAATGAATGAAGGAATGAGGTTAGTGATGGAAAGTTGTTAGGGGGAGCATTTATTAGAATTATTAATTGACAAGTTTAAAGCACTGTTCCTTACGATATAATCGGGTTTACCATAATTGAATTCCACTGTTTATTAGGGAATGGATTCCCTGCGGTTAGTTCTAATTTGTTTCCTAGCTCTTTACCGCGCAATTTTTTTTTTTTTGGGTTGGCCAAGTGAGGGTTTCAAGCTTTTTCTTGATGACCACCGACAATTGACACACCAAAGGCCACTGTCTCCTCCATTTCACCATTATATTCCAACATTTAGAGATTTCTATTGATAATGATTCAAACTTTTTATTGGTAACCATGACAAAAAAGCAAGGATTAAAAATCCGTACAGTACTGACGGTCCAACCGGAAAAATCTGCTATCGAGTCCAAGTCGATAGGTTGTTTTTAGCGTTATGAAATGGTTGTACAACGGTTAAACTACAATTCGGTCCAAGTAAAAAATCTTCTATCGAGTCTAAATCGATAGGTTGTTTTTAGCGTTATGAAACGGTTGTACAACGATTAAACTATAATTTCAACACCAAAAATCATACCGCTGATTTTTTTGGTAACACCCAATTTCACCATGATTTCTTTTTCCCCTATAGTCAACTATAATTGTGTAGTACAGATATATCACACGTAAAACTGATTATGAGCTACAATGTTCATCATCACACCAGTTTGTATTACACAAAAGTTATGTAAGATAAGATAACTTTTACATATTAGTTTAATTGAATGTGATTCTTTACATGACTTGCTTGATTTTATCAATAGATCATACGTAAAAACTTATCAAGGGACAATCATTCCTTATATTAATTCACCAGAATATATTAAATAAGTATTATGTAGCCATAAGTTCTTTATCCCCTGTAGTCAACTATATTTGCGTAATACAAATACATTACGTAACTATTAGCTAATAGCTACAATGTTCAACATCTCATCAATTTGCATAACCTAAAAAAGCTGTAAGGTAAGATAACTTTTACATAGTAGTTTAACCAAATGTGATACTTTAAATAACTTACCTGATTTTATCATTAGACCACATATTACCAAAGATTTACGTAACGTTCTATAACAATTATGTAATTTAAAAATTCATACGTAAAAACTTATAGAGGGATAATTATTCCTTATGTATCAATTGAACAGAGTTTATCAAATAAGTCTTACGTATCCATAAGTTCCTTTTCCCCTATAATTAACATATTTGCATAATACAAATATATTTGCATTACGCAAAAGTCCTATAAGGTAATATAATTTTTACATAGTCATTTAATCGAATGTGATACTTTAAATAACTTGCCTGATTTTATCATTATACTACACATTACGAATAATTTACGTAACATTGTTCTATAACAATTACGTAAAGTAAAAATTCATACATAACGCTTATATAGATATAATTATTCCTCATGTATTAGATAAATCTTTTGTAAGACACTATGTAATACATAAATATTTTTCATATAAGTTTTAATTAAAATTTAAAATTTTACTAAACTGTTAACCATCTCATTAATTTGCATTACACACAAATATTGGAAGGTAAGTTAATTTAACACAACTATTTAATCATAGATAATATTATTCTTAACTTATGGAAGGATCTTATCCAACTATTTTTGAACTATTTGATTTCAACTAAATTATTAAATTAATTTAAGTGATTCAAACAAGAATTAATTTTCCACCGCAGCAAAGCGCGGGCCAAAAGCCTAGTATTTATAATGAGTGGCGTGGGGAGGAAGAGAGTATTTTAAGAAATGGAATGGAGGTCGGGATACGACGTTGGTCATGTGTGGACGAGTGGGGGATTAGGAATTTGACTGCGCTGTTACTTTATAAATAATAATAATTTTCGCCTATGATCGGGTTGACGCAGCACATTCGAAGAGTACAGGCCCAAAAGATGTGGAATTGATCAATTAATTAATTAATTAATTAAACCACCCAAAGTCACTCGGTTCAAATATTATACCAGCAGCTTGGCTTTGACCTCCACTTCCCGCGCCCTGTTGACATTTTGTTACCTTTGATTTCACAGTTTAACTAGTTTGTACCCGACCCGTTGGTCGGATGAATTTTACTTATTTTTTTAGTGCTTAATGCGAAATCATTTCGTTCATATTTTTAAAAGATTTGAGATTATATAAATAATTTATTAACAATTTGAAAATAATTTTTGTGCTACTTGTCGATTGATATTAGTAACTATTAGTTCATATATCTTTTGTTGATTAGATCATCCTTACATTAATATTTCTATATTTTTATTCCATGTTTCAGAAGAAATTTTATACTTCTTATGTTTTGTCATAAATTGCTTAAAATGTATTTCTTTATAATTTTTGCATTACTAACATGCTTTGCACAACCACCACCAAAAAAGAATCTCCAACAACATCCAATCCAATATAGAAATCGTCGCTAATTTGAAAGAGCAACAACAACCCATGTAAGAATCCCGAAATAGTCACTAATCTACTCGAAATCAATTGAATTCTTTTGAGAATGCTAGTATCAATATTCAGCACGAAATCCCACCTAGCTGATAAAGATGAGAAAGAAATGTCTCCAAAACAATTCTCGCTATCAACCCTACCCGGCTACCCACTACCAGTATCGTTTTCTAACCGACAATTCTTAAATATATGAGTTGTCAAAAAAACCAACTTGTGAATCTTACGGTTCCCAACACTAAAAAAGTTATCTCAATAGCGGTTTGATGGAGGTCCAAAGAGTAGTGATATAGATGGGTTATGCAACTCCTCTTGAAGACACCCTCAACGACTACAGTGTTGGAACCGTGCTTCAACTGGGAAACTCTCCACCCATCATGATGCATACCAGCAGAAAGAAGGAGTTGTAGTTCACAGACGGGAGGGGATAATACTTAGGTAACCAATTTGCAGAGCGTGAGCGGGGACGGGAGTAAGAGCGTAGGAACGTTTATTTTAGAAGAATTTGATATTGAGAGCATGGAGAGAGCTTCGTTATTATATTATAATAATTCATTATTTTAGCATAATAAAAAAATGCAATAAAAGTATTGAAATAAAATTTATTTAGTATCAGATGGTAGATGGAAATTTAATTAAATGAAAATGTATATGTTACACTTTCATAAAAGTGTGTGTGTTACGATTCTCTTATTTTCTCTGAAAAAATACCATAACATTTTTATTCATATTTTCACTGTAAAATTTATTGGTTTCGATCATAAAATTATAAGATGATATGAAATTTAAATAGAAAATAACTAAAATCCAATATCATTTTTTTTTAATCTATGAGTTTTGGACTCTCATTCCCCTTTATTGTTTAAAAAGTCTACCATTCCTTTTACAATGATTTTTTTCTGTAAGAAAACCATACACATCTCCAAGCCATCTCTATTATGTGTATTCTTTCTTCAGAGAGCTTGGCGATTGTTAAAAGGTCATCTGTTTCAATCAGCAAAGGAGAGAAGCACGTAGTTGTGACTTTTTTGAAAAAAGCTTATCATGGAAAAAAAGGTGAAAAAAGCCCAAGTTTGTAACTCCCCATCCATTAAAAACATAATATAAATAAAGTAAAATCTTAAGAATTAAGGAGTCTCCTCTTCACACACTCATACACTCATTAAGTGTCCCACAAATAATAAGTATACTTCTTGCTATGCCCGATAAGCCAAAATATGACCCAACCAGTAAACAAAGAAACCAGGTCTTGCAATTGCTAATTCGCAGCCTGATCAATCAACCCTCAACAAAACTGTCAACCCATTTAAACAGGATTAAATAAAATCATTCAACCAATAGAGTGAGTGTAAAGTTAGTTCATGATCTAAACTATTTAATTTATTTAAAGAATAAAAATTCACAATCAGGTTCATCTTTACTCATATTATCCATGCCTTTGTTGTACAAATTCATAAATACATAAAAAAGATTTTGAACCAGTATTTCAAGATCAATCTCGTCTCATCATTGTTGAATTCAATCATGTCATATTAGCAAGAGGTTTAAGGCTAGTGGTTGACCGGGCTAAAACATTCAAAGAATCACTCACTTATAGTTTGCACAAAGATATAATTGCTTCTAGTTCTGAAAATTAATACTAATTTTACAATTGTACATCGCTTCTACATATTCAATAATACAGTTTAATATGCAATATTCGACCAAATAATATTTGAGTTGTGATTTTTAGGGACGAAAATTTTGCTCATATCCATGAGTATTTTACTATCCAACTCAATCGAGTGATTGAGTTGGATATGACATCCAAATAGATGGTAAATGGGTAGAGTTTGATGGATTTATATCCATACACATTTACTTGGGTTGATTTGAGTTTGTACCCATATTCATATGTAAATTACATTTTGATACCTAAAATCAATAGATCTTTAGATTTAGTATCTAAATTTTATTTTATTTTTGCATATAAGTCCTCAAAATATTGATCAAATTCATATTTGAGTACCTAAAATTTTTGTTTTACATTTTGATACCAAAACCGGTTAAGTTGTACAAATAGGTCCAATTTTTTATGTGTAGTTAAAACAAGCTGAAATAAATGAGTATCCATACCCAACCCATACCTATTTAGATTATGGAAACAATATATATACCCTAGCCAAACCCATCTACATAACCCAAATCCATATACACTTCACCCATACCCTACGCCGTAATCAATGTGTCTACTTGGATGTGGGTAATATTCCTCATGAGTGGATAATTGTCATCTCTAATAATTTATAAATCATCGTCCGTTACCCGCTGTGATAATATGACATGATTAGATGAATTGCTAATCACTTATTTACTTCCATAGATATTTTATTTATGGATCCATTTTACAATATGCAACTATGACA